CCCCCCCCCCCCCCCCCCCCCCCTTTTGACTTCTTCACTCAGGTCTTTCTCGACTGTCAGCAAACTTCATTGAAATTCAATTATAAAGTGCAACTTATCAGACGTGTAGACGTGGCCTCGAACAACCAATTGAAAAGAAGGGGCTCAATTTAAATTGGGCTGTTTCCCTTGACCAAATGTTAAAGGACTGATTGGACCAAGGCCCATCATTAGAAAACATAGCAAGTGAAAATTAGGTCTAATTGGTAACTGAACTCATTAATTTGATCACTGAACTTTAATTTGTTCTGAATTAACCTTTATTTCCGTTTCAAACTGAACTTTAAATTTTGTTTCATATATATCACTACATTAATCTCCATTTTAAAATCAATGTTAAATTTTATGCGTCTAATTTGTTAGTGGCCAAATTTTATGAAAATTTGAATCCACAATTTTTGAATTTTTTTTTCTGGTCACTACATTGATCTCCATTTTGCCCACATCAAAATAGGCCCAGTAAATGAAGACCTCATAAATGAAGACCTCACAAAATTGGCCCAGAAAGAAATATGGGCTGAAAACAGTAACAAGTGACATGAATAGCCCATGAAAAAGGTCCAGCTGATTGCAAAAGCCCAGAAAGACGTTATTGCTGACTACTTCTGAGGTGGCTCATCTACTAATAGCCATAGGGTTAAAAATACATTTAACCCCTTTTTATTTAATTGAAAAGCGAAAGGTTGATGAAATAAGTGATTGAAATTTAATTTTTTTTTTAAATAAGTTTTAGAAAATGAAGACCAAATATGGGCTTAGTCACCCAGTTAGAGCGGTATATCTGTATCAATTTCTTTATCCGTCTCCTTTTTCGGTTAGAAGTTAGGCTTCAAACTTTTATTTAATTTTAGACATTTTTTCCTTACACTCTTTTCTTGAATTTATGAAAACATTGAAAGTATGATTAACATATTTTTGCCTAATTCTTAACATCCAACAAGGGAAATCCATCTAGTTGGACTAATCATACGTGAACCCTTTGCCTAACACTTGCTTGGGATTCACCTGCGCCTTAGGGAATGGTAAATTTGAGTAAGATATTGTAAAAAGAAAGCATTTCATGAAATCAAAGATGCCATAATATTATTATCAGATATACATAAAAACTTAACACTATGATGTCCACTCTGTCCATTGCATCTTATTGAAATCAAAGTGTGTTTTCTTCTATTTTATTTTCAAATTGTTTGTTTCCCTATCAATTTCAAAAGACAACTAGTTCAACAATGTGCATTTTACGTAGTCATACGATGGAAATAATGACTAACAAAATTTTCTCTAATTCATCATGTCAAAATGTCTAAGATAATATCTTATCTCAGATATGAAATTTTTGTGCCTCACTTGAATGAAAGAAATTTTGATGGTCAAAATAAAATAACATTACAAATTACGTGACCAACAATATTTTTAACCCTACATCGACATACACAACTGGCATGTCAGTCCAATTGATCCAACTCCATAATTAGAATGGTTAAATAAAAAAGAAAATACAAAGTGTTTAAAATTTGAAACACGGAGGACACATCACCATCAATATGAGGCAAGAAGGAAAGAGAAGAAAGTTCATTTAATCTTAATTCTCATCTTCACGTTTATGACGGCCCTTCTTCTCCTTATTAATAACTCCTTCCATTAAATATGCTTCACTACCATATATCCATGCACCTATATGCATATAAATAAATGACATATTCAAGTATTGACTCGTAGAAAAGTAAAGAATCAACGATCGATCTAGTGATAAACCAAAAGGGGGGAAAAATTGGTGTGAACCAACCAATTCAAGGTTAACCAAGAATTTTCAATCTTCGGCCTCTAGCGTTTTTTATTGCGTTAATCTGCCTAGTTCAATCTTGTCGCGATGTGCTTACACGCTAACTTAATGTATGGGTTTTCTCGAATAACTAAATACGTAACATCCCAAAATTTTCTAGTAAAGATTTTTAATATTTTAGGGACTTAATTTAATGATAGAATAAATGTTATTAGGGATTGTAACTAAAATAATATTATGGAGATTGAAAATGCAATTTTATAATTGCATATTTGCCCAAGGGTTATAGATGCAATTTTATAAGCAAAGAAATAATTGCATTTGTGGTCCAATGTCTAAAGATGTAATTTTAAAATCCAATCAAATGATTGCACATTATCATAGGAGTTAGATGTGCAATTTCATAAATTGCACACTTAACCCCTACCATCAACTATAAATAGAGGATACTTGTGAAATGTGACATATCATTTTTCCCATCATTTTCATTCCTTAAGATATTGATCAAGGAAATCGCGAAAAAAGTAAATATTAATGTTTTTCAACTACTGTGTAAAATACATTAATATGTGTAAATACGTATTTATATGTGGTCGTTTCTTTTGTTATGCGACATGGTAGTATGTTACATGTGCATTGAGTTTATTTGAAAAACGTAGGGATAATTACGTTTTCAAGATCATGCATACTTGTATTGTCGTGCTAATTGAGTTGCAGTTGAAAATCTTGAATGTGAATCTATTACAGATGTACAGTACTATTGTGTCTGAATAACTATACTGCTTTGAAACTCCTCACGGTTATTAAGGATAGCCAAGGATAGGATATTTGGAGTTTGGCACTTGTATACAAGCAGTGCTAGGAGGTCCCTTGGTGGCCTTGGGACTGTGGATAGGCACCTTGAGTGTTGTATGTATGTAGGTTAGGCCTTGAATTTGATATATTGATGTGGCATCCTGAGTCTTGGTGGGCAACGATGAATGCGTTAATATTGGTTTGCGCGCAGGAAAAAGGCCATATTATTTTGAGCTCATACGATACACTATAATAAGGATTTGGGCCCATGTATGTTTGACATGCATCATTGCATCATCATATTTACTGAACTTTATGGTTCACGTTTTGTATTTTGTATTGTAGATGCCACTGCTAGAGACTGAAATTGTTCGAACCACCAGACATGCAGAAATTACTGAGGACCTCAGTGCTATACGTGTTATATATAGACGTACCCACTATACACGCTTTTATACGGTGATCGACGAGGAAGAAGAGATCGAATCTTTTGAAGATGGTGAGGATTTTGTAATGGTAATGATTGATGTTTACAACTTGGTCACTTGTTGTTATGTAAACACTCTAATGTATGTAGAGTAGATAGCAATGTGATATTGTGTAAAATAGGAAAATGATGCCTAATAAAAGAGTGTAGTGAAAATAAAAGAATTTTGACAGACTTTGATATACTGCCATATCAGCCTACTGTAGAATAGATTTATAGGAAACTTTTGAAAAATCTGTAGGCATTTCTTTTGATAAAATTTTTTTGGCAGTCATATGACTAAGGTGTAATGAGGTGTATTTTGTAAAACAAAATTTTCTTTTGGTATAATATAAATTTGACAGTTCTTTTAACTCTTTATATTACAAAATTTGATTTTCTTGATATGTTTTGATTTTACTACAAGATGTTTAATATGATTTTAATCTAAGAATAAAAATAAATAAATTAGTGAAATTAAGAGTAGAGCGTCACAAATATATATAATTGATATTTTATAATAATTTTTGTATCTATCTAGGTTTATGTCGTGACATTCATAATGACGTTCAACTTTACTCATTTAATGGTTGTACTTGCTTGTCTAACAAATTTACATATTATTCTAGGTTTATTATTTTTGGGTAACTCACTAAAACATGTGAAACTCTTTCAAAAGATGGCCGTGTATCATGTGAAGGGACATTAACATTTAATACCCCAACCTCCACCAACCTCGTGTTATAAATCTTGTCCCATTTTTCGATTTCCCTTTGTAATGTAATATTTTCATGTTATCAAAAACAAATGAAGAAAACAGTGTCTATTGCCCTTTTCTTGATGATACTTGCCACTGGACACACTCTTCGGCCTTATCATTGTTAGTGAAAATTTGTTGTTTCTTTTATTCTTTTTATACTAGCAGAAGTTTTACTTCTAGAGACGGAAATTTTTGTCGTAAATTGTTAGTCGAAAGAGGATCGTTAAGAGAAAGTTTGTTATATATTTGTTTGTTCATACTAACTTTTAGATGTTCCCCGCGAACATGTTTCAGTTGCCCGCCAAAGCAAAGATCCTTTCAAGGGTGACCAAAGTCACATGTCCACTCGGGTATGTTTCCCAAACTAATAACATTTATGGTAGCGAGAATTATATAATACCCGACTCTGTTAAAGAATAGGAAAAAGTAAAGTTTTGTTCATTATACTGTATCATCTTGTTCAATTATATATACGTTTTTCTACACGAGCTTCACAAAAATAGAGAAATGTTACGCTAAGCACATCACTCCATTGATGGATAATGAATTTAATTCAAATATTGAAACTCATCATAAATTTATACGTCAATGATTGATGTGTCGTGCATTGGTGCTTAATAGATCATTTCTTTCAAAATGAAACACATTTAAGAAATAAACAAATTAAATCTTTTCTGTTATAGTGCCAAGTAATCGATAAAAAAAATGCTCTAAAAGTCCTTTTTTTTTTTTTTTTACTTAAATATAACTATTTTCCATCTTATTATGTACAACGAAAGTTACACAATTCTAGTGTTCATTTCAATATATGTGTCGATTATTGCCTCCAATTTCTATAAAATATCCTTAGGAGGAAGCGAAGGGAGACGGACTAGGAATGGAACTGTACCCGACCGGGTCGAGCTTGCCGGATTGTTCGCACGCATGTGGGCCGTGCGTCCCTTGCAAGAGGGTGATAGTGAGCTTCAAGTGCTCGACCGAGTCGTGTCCCGTCGTCTACAAGTGCATGTGTAAAGGAAAATACTACCACGTTCCCTCCAATTAATTGTAGACAGCAGACTGTTTATGCATTTGCCTTAATTTGTCTTAGCTTAATTTTCCCATTTAGCTTCTAGTGCTTAGTTAAAATTGCAAAATTGAAGCCATTTTCTTGTGGATATACGTACTAGAAGTTGGTCTCTAGTCTAATTTTTTAGGAAGAATCGTCCATAATGTTAAGTTCATGTGACTTGCACATGACTTACTTCTTGAATGATAAATCAAGCCAACACTTGATTTCAATAAAAAGGTAAATAACTAAAGAAAAAAAAAGAAAAGTAAAGTTAAAAATATCCTTACCAACCCACTTTGGCAATTAAACAAGACGCCCAATAAAATTTTTATGTTCAATTCACTAATCCGTACATTCTATCTACAATGTTGTTAGAGCGTGATTTGTGAGTAGACTATAAGAAATTTTACTTTTAGCAACGAATACTTTTGTAGGAAAAAGGTTATTTTGAGTTGTTTCATAGAAAAGGAGTCGAAGAGAAAATTTTCAATGTAAAATTTCACATCGTTACAAAAGTGAAATTTTTTGTATTACCTTTACATAGTGCTAATACAAATTCATGAAAATAATTAATGTGGGACGGAGTGGGTTGAAGTTAATTAAGTAAACTCACATATCTCTTTGTGAATTTTGATATAAATTTAATGCATTAGTCCATCAAGAAATTCATTTAGTGACGAAAATAACCTTAAAAGAATATCTCTATATTTTATCTAGATTACTGACTTTTCTATTTGGTCTAAACCAATAATTCAACTCTCACAAATCATCAGATAATTAATGATGATAATCACAATAATAAAATCAATATTAAACATCAACAAAAATCATGTCTATTTTATCATGACAACAATATCCCTAAAAAGTATATATACGATGTAGTGACCATTTATCATGGCCTTGCTTTAATCTGGCAAAGTTTTGATTTTGAGCAATACAAGTGCAACCAAAAACAGTTCTCAAGGCTTGTTGATGGATGCAGATGAACCCTACCAAGTGTACAAGATGAAATTTATTGACAAAGATGTCGATTTCGTTTAATGCTATATGCTTGTCAGATTGTATAATTTCAATACTAGAATAATGTCAGTTACTTTAATTTTGGTCGTTCTACCTTCCCAGGCTCCCTTTGCCAGAGGTCTTACAGGGCCTCACACAAAGGCAGAGAGGGTCAGTTTTTTTTACAATTTTTTTTTTTTTTGCATGTGGGTCCGACATGGGCCCACCTCATTGTGAGAAACATGTACAAGGTCTGGTAAAATTTTTTATTGCACGTGGGTCCAACTTGAGCCCACCACATTGTGAGAAGCCTGTACAAGGTCTGGTAAGCTTCACCCCGACAGACCAGCATTACTCCTTTAATTTTGAATATACATATAAGTACATTCACTGAATTAGTTTGTATCTATTTGTGCATGCATGGTGCACATACAAAGCACACATGTCGCACACGATGAAAAATGTCCATAAAAATTGTTCACACTAGCCAATGATATATATAAGTAGTTTTTAAGATTAATATAATAAATTAGAAGAAAGTGAACCTATTCTGATGCTATCTGTAAGATCGAAAATTAATTATCTCATTTAAAAATTAATTGACTTCCCGTGAGAGAAACTATTAAATGAAAAGATTTTTATTTTTATTTTTGAAATTATTCAATTACAGAATGTCAAACAACTGTCAAATAGAATGTACACCAATCATGATTATTTTTAGGGGGAAAAAAGGAAAATTCCCAAATCAAACTCAAAATAGATGCCAAAGCACAAATATATCTTGCAAATTTGCAATACCAATTTATCCATTTGAAATAAATTTATATTTTCTCATTAAATAAATTAACCGAAGAAATTTTTGAACAAATAATACAATATTTCATGCAATATGATACGTGGAATGATTATTAACACCTCAGAGTTCATTGATTCAATATGCAAATGTCGAGAATTGGGCATAATGAGTGTTCGAGGCCCATTTTTTGTATATAAAAAAAATAAGTTTAACTTTCTAGAGAATGGGAGGTTCAACATGGACAATATTGTTAATTGAAACATATTGCTGAGTTTATAGTGTCTTCGCTTGTTGACAGCTGAATTTATATATGACATACAATGTAGATTTCTGATAATAGAACTTGTAAATAGTGATTTTTTTTTTTTGGAGATTGAATAGTTAAAAAGCAAGAAATTTTTTTTAGATCCACGTGCAAATTATTTTATTCTAAAATTGTGTCGTATTGCTTTAGATCCGGCAATGTTTTCAATTTATGCAATACAAGTGCAACAAAAAGGAGGCACCCTTGAATCCTCTTCCATAAAACATCTCAAGGCAGTTGACGGATGGAGAAGAATCTAAAAAGTGTACAAGATGAAATTTATCGACAATGATATTGATTTTGTTAATGCTATGTGTTTGTTAAGTTGTATGATTCTAAGACTAGAGTAACCTGTAACCTCAACTATTCTAGTTTTGTATATGAGATATATACATATGAGTAAATTCGCCAAATTAGTTAGTATCGATTCAGCTTCAAGCATGCATGTTTCACGCACAGAGAGCACGCACTCTCTCACGCAATGGAAGAGGAACTTATCTTACGGAATTTAACCATCTCATTCCAAAATCGACTTCAGTAAGAGAAAGCTAAACCTTTTATAATATTTGATAACTCTTATTTGAGTAACATAATGCTTGAAAAGGCGGGAGGAACAATCATTCCTCTACTCTTTTGAAAAGGTGGGCAAAATATGTAAGAAAACTATCTCACAATATTATAGTGTCGTCCGCAAATTCGTATTCTAACAACAGTTTCTCCTTTGGTCCCTCTACTCTTCTAAAAGTAATAGATAAGCAATACCATTTGTAACTGTTGACACATAAAAATTCAGCCCAAATCGAACAACCCAAGGAGTAAAGCCCAATTGAAGGATCCCCAAATCGGATAGCCCAAAGAACGAAGTCCAATCGAACGAATCAAGGTGAAGGCCCAAATAAGGGGCCCAAGAATGCGGTAAAGCCATCGCCCAAGTTTGCAAGTCGCCCAGAATCTGAACGAATGGAGTGTCATACGGTCGCCCAGAGCTGTTATTCTACTCTCGCCCAAACCTTCAAGTCACCCAAGGTATCAACAAATATAACGCATCGTGGTTATCAATGAATGCAGTTATCAAGGTAGTTGTTAAAGTAGCCTTATCACGTTCCACGACTCAAAGAATTCAATCGAAAGCAGTTGAACGATGAATAATAATGGCAGCAGTTAAAAGGCAGTTTCATGACAAAATGGCCACTACAAAGAAAGTGAGTAGTTATAGGACGATTAAGCAGTTTTTAGGGTAGTTAATTACAAAGAGATCGTCTATGAGGTATAAAAGGGAGAAAGGACGCAGAAGCAAAGGACCGAATCCAAAACTCTCGAACAGAGAATATGTAATTTTCATTTCCTTAGCTTTTAGACTTAAACATTTTTCTTTCTGTAACTCGTGTGCTTGCGCCCCATGGAGGCACGTTGTTTTTCATTCCCAATTGTAAAGTTCATCGCCAATAAAAGAACACCCCTTTTTGGGACTTTGTCTCAAGAGGTTTCGTCCCTTACACAACCGTCTGATCCTTTTTAATTGTTAGCGACTTAACCCGCGCGAAACAATTTGGCACGCCCAGTGGGACAGTGGTGTAAGGTGTTGAAAATACAAAAGGTGAAACAATATGCCTCAGAGATCCGACAAGGAAGGAGAAAGTCAGGGAGGAATCCAGTCTGTAATCGAGCGATATGAGGAGCAGCATGCCTCTCCACGAACAGATGGACAAAATCAGAGCAGTAACAGTCGTTACAAACCAATGACGGAGTTGAGTCCTCGAACCATGCGTGCATTGCTTGGAGAACTCACGCAAGACGTCGTTGAACAGGTAAACCTTCGAAGTATTCATAATATGGAAAGATTTACACAAAATGGAAATGCACACTATGACAATATGGCCAAACAGCTAAAGACGTTAAACAAAACAATGAATAAGTTAGTAGGCCAAATATGTCAACCGGCTATACCTCTTACAAACCACTTTCAAACCAGGACAATTGGGGGACATAATCCCTCTGTCCTAAATCCGAATCAAGGGGTGGAATCGCTTTCTGGTGCCTCTACTTCAAACCAAGGAGGTACTACAGTGCCAAATCAAAATAATGGTAGTGACATGCCTACCTTGGGGAGAAATTCAAACGTGAGAGATAATGTCATAAACAATGGACAGAATATTCCACGTGGTAATGAGGGAACAGATGTCCAGGCTAACGGTAATGGATTTAATTATGATAATTTTGTTGCCAATCAAGGACCAAACATCAGACCTCATGCAAATCAACCGGTTAATCAGCCTGTAGGAATTCCATATGATCCTAATGTCATGTTGAGGAATCAGATTATGGAAATCGTGCAGGATCAGATGGCCTTTGGGGTGCGTCCTGTCATTAGACCGACTTACACAAAGCCATATCCTGATTGGGTTGACCAAGCATATCCATGGCCTAGAGGGTATAAAGTGCCAGAATTCTCACTGTTTACTGGTTTAGGAGAGGTGTCTATTCTAGAACACATAGGGCGATTCACGTTGCAAAGTGGTGATGTAACCGATTACCATAAAATGAGACTTTTCCCTAGCTCGTTAACAGGAGTAGCTTTCTCCTGGTTCATCAACTTGCCAGCGAACTCTGTTCAAACATGGCAACAACTGGAACAGTTGTTTCATGCTCAGTTTTATAAAACTGAATCTGAAGTCACGTTGGCTGATTTGACGAATTTACGTCAAATGCCAAATGAATGGGTAGAAAGTTTTCTCCAAAGGTTCAAAACAACAAGAAACAAGTGTTTTGTACCTCTGCCCGAAAAAGAATTTGTCAAGATCGCACAAGGCTGCTTGAGCTTTGATTTAAAAAAGAAGTTCCAGGACAAGGAATTTTCCGACCTTTTCCAGTTGAGTGCGAATGTGATTAGGTATGAGCGACTGATAAGAGAAGAAGAACAAATGAAAAATTCTAGTAAAGGGACTTATTACAGAGACCCAAATTTTGACGTTCATACCATCGATGACGAATCGTATGATCAGGCCGAAA